GCAGGGACAACCCGTGCTTAGTGAGCTCGCGGTCCTGAGCAGCAGGCGGGGATGCGTGCTCAGTGTGCGAGCGCAGGTGCACTCCGTGGCCGGTTACGGTTCATAGCGTCTGATTGGCCACATTCGGCTTCCATTTACGTTTTGTACCGTCTGATTGGCCACATTCTGCTTCCATTTGTTTCGTAGAACCTGATTGGTTACATTCAACTCAGCCGTCGTTAATGTTTCGTAGCACCTGATTGGTCACCCAGCTTCAGCGTTCAGGTAACGGTGGGGTTTGGTCTGGGCTGGAGCCGCGCTCCCAGGTGCTCCTGCCCGCCACGTCCAGTAGCAGGCCTAAGGGTTGGTGTCCGGCGCTGGCCAGACTCCTGTCCCCTGTGCCCGTTCCTTTGGAGCGGGTCCAACCCTCGGCCGGGACTGAGCAAGCGCGACTTCCCTGAGGTCACCGGAGCCTGAGGAGACCGAGCCCCCACATCCGGGCTCAGGCCGGCTTGGCCGTCTGTGGGGAGGGGGCCGGGGCTGCCTACGGGGCCCACCTGGCCACCCACGCGGTCAGTGCCGCTCCTCCCAGGAAGAGAACACCCTAGTGAGTGCGAAGGCAGCAGCAGATGTTCCGAATACCTGGGCCCCTGTCACCCACCTGAGGGACCCGGATGGGGCTCCCAGGCTTCCACGTGGCTGTCGCATGTATTTGGGGAATGATGCAGGGCTGGAAGAGCAATCCCTCCCTTTCTCCGGCTCCCTGCCTGCCTGACTTTCAAATAATGAATAAATTAAAGAACAAAAGAGATACAGTGGAGCACCTGGATTTGACTCCTGTCTTCAGTTGAGGGGCATTTGGGTTGCTTCCATTTCTTAGCTATTGTGAATTGAGCTGAAAAAAGCACTGGGGTACAGATAACTCTTTCATTTGCTGATTTCATTTACCTTGGGTAATCTCCAGGAGTGGGATGACTGGCTCAAAAGTAGATCCATCTTCAGATTTCTGAGGAATCGCCATACTGTCTTCCATAGTGGCTTTACCAGGTTACATTCCCACCAACAGTGGATTAGGGAGGGTAACTTTTTCCCCACATTCTCACCAGCATTTGTTCTTTGTTGATTTATGAAAGCCATTCTAACGGGGGTGACATGAAACTTCATTGTGGTTTTGATTTGCATTTCCCTGACGGCTAGTGATCCTGAGCATTTTTTCAGGTGTCTGTTGGCCATTTGGATTTCCTCTTTTGAAAAATATCTTTTTAAGTCCTTTGCCCATTTCTTAACTAGGTTGCTTGTTTTGTTGTTGTTGAGTTTCTTGATCTCTTTATATGTTCTAGTTATTAATCTTTTATCAGATTGCCTTGATTGTGTTGAGGAGTGTTTCTCTATACCCAGTTTTCTTACACTTTTCATCATGAAAGGGTGTTGTATTTTATCAGATGTTTTCTCTGCATCTGTTGAGATAATAATACAATTTTTGTTCTTCAGTTTGTTAATGTGATGTAGTGCATTGATTTGTGAATATTGAACCATCCTTTCATACCAGGGATAAATCCCACTTGGTCTGGGTAGATGATCTTTCTGATGTTTTGTTGGATTCAATTTAGCTAGAATTTTGTTGAGGATTTTTTGTGTGTATGTTCATTCAGGGATGTTGGTCTGTAGTTCTCTTTCTCTGTTGTATCTTTTTCAGGTTAAGGGATTAAGGTGATGCTGGCTTCACAGAAATAATTTGGGTGGTTAGCACTTTGGAAAAGTGGGTAGATGCTGCCTACAGTGCCGGCATCCCATATGGGCATCACTTCAAGACCTGTCTGCTCCACTTCCAATCCAGCTCCCTGCTATGTTCTGGGAAAACAGTAGAAGATGACCCAAGTCCTTGGGCCCCTGCACCCAACTGGGAGACCCAGAAGAAACTCCTGGCTCCTGGCTTGGGATTGGCACAGCTCCGGTTGTTGTGCCCAATTGAGAGTGAAACAGCAGATGGAAGACCTCTCTCTCTCTCTGCCTCTCCTTCTCTCTCTGTGTAACTCTGACATTCTAATAAATAATTCTTTAAAAAAATAATTTGGGAGTATTCCTTCCCTTTCAGTTGTTTTGAATAGCTTGAGAAGAATTGGAATTAGTTCTTTAAATGTGTGGTAAATTCAGGAATAAAACCATCCGGTCCTGGGCTTTTCTTTGTTGAGAGGGTCTTTATTAGTGATTTCTGTCTTGGTTATTGGTCTGTTTAGGTTTTCTATGTATTCACACCTCAATTTAGGTAGGTTATATGGGTCCAGGAATCTATCCATTTCTTCTGTGTTTCCCAGTTGGTTGGCATAGAGCTCCTTGTAGTACTTTCTGATGATTCCTTTTATTTCGATGGTGTCTGTTGTTACATTCCCTTTTTCATCTTTCATATAATTGATTTGGGTCTTCACCCTCCTTTTTTTGATTCATTGGGCCAGTGGTGTTTCCATTTTGTTTATTTTTTATTTTTTTGACAGAGTTATAGACAGAGAGAAAGGTCTTCCTTCCATTGGTTCACCCCCCAAATGGCCGCTGCAGCTGGCACTGTGCTGATCTGAAGCCAGGAGCCAGGTGCTTCTTCCTGGTCTCCCATGCAGGTGCAGGGGCCCAAACACTTGGGTCATCCTCCATTGCTCTCCTGGGCCACAGCAGAGACCTGGACTGGAAGAGGAGCAATTGGGACTAGAACCTGGCACCCATATGAGATGTCGGCGCCACAGCGGAGGATTAACCAAGTTTCAAAAATCCAGCTCTTTATCTCGTTGATCTTTGGTATTATTTTTGTTTCACTTTTGTTTATTTTCTAATTTTAATTTTTTTTCTCCTACTAGTTTTGGGTTTGGTCTGCTGTTATTTTTGTGGGTCCTTGAGATGCGCTGATAGCTCATTTATTTGATGCCTTTCCAATTTCTTGATGTAGACACCAGTTGTTAGAAACTTTCCTCTAACACTGCTTTTGCTGTATCCCATAAGTTTTGATATGTTATATTATCATCTTCATTTGTTTACAAAAACTTTTTAATTTCTTCCGTGACCCACTGTTCATTCAGGAACATGTTTAGTCTCCATGTTTTTGCATATGTTCTAGAGATTCCTGCATTGTTGCTTTCTAGCTCCATTCAATTTGTGGTCATAGAAGATGCATGGTATGATTTAGATTTTTATTGGATTTGCTAAGACTTGCTTTATGGCCTAACCTGTGGTCAATCCTAGAGAAAGTTCTGTGCTCTGGTGAGAAGAATGTGTATTCTGCGGCTGTAGGATGGAAAGTTCTGTAGATATGTTAGGTCCATTTGGTCTATAGTTTGGATTAACTCTATTGTTTCCTTGCTGATTTTCTGTCTGGTCAATCTGTCCATTACTGAAAAAGGGGTACTGAAGTCCCCAATTATTATTGTGCTGGAGTCCATGTCTCCCTTTAGATCCAGTAACATTTTTTTAAATAGCCAGGTGCCCTGTAATTAGGTTCATATATGTTTATAATAGTCACATCTTCCTATTGAGTCAATCCCTTAATCATTACCTAGTGCCCTTTTGTCTCTTTTTACAGATTTTGTGTTAAAATCTAGTTTCTCTGATATTTGAGTGGCTATACCAGCTTGTTTTTGGTTTCTGTTAGCTTAGAATATATTTTTCCATCCTTTCACTCTCAGTCTATGGGTGTCTTTGTTGGTGAGATGTGTTTCTTGTAGGTAGCAAACAGTTTTGTTTTTAATCCATTTTGCCTGTCTGTGTCTTTGAACTAAAAATTTAAGGCCATTTACATTCAAGGTGACTATTGATAAGTGATGGCTTGGCCCTGCCATTTTTCCATAACTATTCCTGTATTGTATACTTTAGATTTCCTCTGTACTTTTACTGGGAGATTTTTCCACCTTCACCTTTTTGTAGTGATGACCATGTTTCTGTGTTTCTGTGTGCAGCACATCTTTAAGCCCCTTTTATAAGGCTAGATGTGTGGTGACAAATTCTTTCAATTTCTGTTTGTTATGGAAGATCTTTATATCACCTTCATTCCTGACTGAGAGCTTTGCAGGGTACAGTTTTCTGGTTTGACAACTTTTTTTTTTTCTCTTTAGACTTGGAATATAACTTGCTATTCTCACCTAGCCTGTAGGGTTTCTGATGAGAATCAGCTGTGAGTCTCATTGGAGATCCCCTGCAAGTAACCAGCGTTTCTCTCATGCACATTTTAGAATCTTTTCTTTATGTTTTACTGTTGCGAGTTTGACTACAATGTGGCATGGTGAAGATCTTTTCCTGTCATGTCTACCAGGAGTTCTGTGTACTTCCTGTACTTGGGTGTCCCTTCCTTTCTCCAAATTTAGGGAGTTTTCTGTAATTATTTCACTACAAATGCCTTCTAATCCATTCTCTCTTTCCACACCTTTAGGAACACCTAAGATTGTATGATGGGTCATTTGATAATATCCTGTAGATTTCCAACATTGTTTTCTAGTTTTTCTAATTTCTTCTTTTTTTTCTGATTCTAGAATTTACAACAGTTCATCTGCTAGCTCCAACAGTCTCTCTTCTGCTTCACCAAGTCTTCATTTCCAAGATTTCCTCAAGATCTAAGTTTCGTGGGAGAAATTTTCTTTCATGTATGGATTTTATTAGTTTGTGGATTTTATTCTGATTATTTCTGATGACTTCTCTGTAATCCTACTGTGAATTTTTTTGAATTCCATTTCTGGCATCTTCAGTCTCTTCATCTTCACATTCTAGTGTTGAAATGTTGTGTTCTTTTGGGGGTATCATGTTGTCTTCCTTATTCTTGTTTCTTGAGTTGCTACATTTATTATCTGGCATTTTTGCAGATCTTCATTGGTTTCTTTTTTGTTTTGCTTTATTTTTTCCCTGTGATGGCTTTATCTTTGGACTGTGCCTCTTAGGCTTAGTAGAGTGTCCACTTTTTCAGGAATACCTAGAGGCCTGTGGTAGGTGTGGCCAAGGAGGTCTGTTCAGTGCTCTTGGGTGAAGGGAGTGTCCAAGGTGACACCCTCAGGTTGGGTGTGATATATATTTTTTTAATCAGAGGGGATGTTTGTTCTACTCTGTTGGCATAGTGTCACACTCACCTCTTCTCTCTAAGGAAACCAGTGCCTGGGTGCTAGGACCAGTGGGTTTACTTATGTCCATGCTGCCATTAGAACACACAAAGGATCCATGCAGTCATCTGTACAAGCCCAGATTCCACAGCAGTGACCCTCACCAGGGAATCCCGGGTGCAGCCTTCCACATTGACTACCCAATGTCCCATACACACTCTGAGCGCTCCCCAGGTAGGCACAGCATTTTCACAGTCCTGGCACACCAGCCTCCCATACTCAGGAGCACCCAGCCCCCTGTCAGTTCTCCCAGCCAGGTGCAGGCTTCTCCACTCAGCTGGTTGCTGGGCACAGGGGAATGAGCAGCTCAGCTGTTACTATGTCCAGAATGGCACCCACCCTCCCTCAGCTTGTTACAGGATGCTGATGCAGGGTGGTTGGGAGAGAGCAACGTGCCCCCATTTTTTATCCTCTACTTTGGCATTCCCACCAGACTTCCCACAGCTGTAACTCCAGTGGCTTGGGCTGCTACAGACTGGTCTCCCCTCACTCCAGAGCTGGTGCTGAGCTTCTCAGCTGCTGGAGTCCTGAGTTGTGCATGTCCACACCCTCCACACAGGTGCACAGTGTCCCTTTAAATAGCATGAAGTTTGCTCTGCCATTTTCTCCTGAACTCTTCCCTGAGACTGCACTCTCTCCACTTTTTGTTACACACTCTTCTCCTTGACTAGAGCAGTAAGCTCCCTCCCTATTCTGCCATCTTGGCTCTCTCCATCCATCTGTATCTTTTTAAAATTAATTAATTAATTTATTTGAATGTCATATTACAGAGAGATCAATCTTCGACCTGCTGGGTCACTCCCTAGATGGCCACAATGGCTGGGGCTAGGTCAGGCCAAAGCCGGGAACCAGGAGCTTCATCAGAGTCTCGCTCATAGGTTCAGAGGTCCAATAATTTTATTCTGAATACTGATGAAAATGTAGTTGCACAGGAATGTAACTGTGTGCATACTAAGTAGAATAGTGATTCTCAAACTTGAGCTCGCATTTGAGCCATAGGAAGGTGTTGCTAGAACAGATGGGTAGGCCTTTTCCTCAGATACTCTGATTTGGTTGTTCTTGGGGGTATAAGAACTTGTGTTCCTGACAGATTTTCAGGTGATGCTGTTGCTTGTGGTCTTGACCACACTTTGAGAACTGAGGGTTGTGTGACTTCACCTCCTCACCTGTGTTGTGTTACATGTGTGTGTCTGTGCCTGTGTGCTCTGCACAGTTACATGTTAGTTCACCTGTGACTTTGCATTTAGATTTAATTAAGTAGCTGGCATATTATTTTAGAGTTAGCAGGCATGCTCAGCAGTGAATAATCTGTGATTTATAGCCTTGTTTCTGCAAATACAAGGTAAATGGTTTAGCCTAGGTTTAGCTTGCCGTTGTTTGTTTTTTGGGGAGGCAGAGTTACAGAGAGAGAGAAAGAGAGAGATCCTCCATCTGCTGGTTCACTCCCCAAATGGCTGTAACATCCAGGGCTATGCCAGTGGTAATCCACTGCTGATACATTCTTATTACCTCTAAAGCCCATGATTTGCCTCCAGGGTCAGTCTGTGTTGTCCATCCTGACGATTTTGACACTTACGTTAAGACCTGTAGTCACTGTTACAGGTCAGCACAGAATAGTCTCTATTCCTGAAAGTCTTCTGTGTGAAGAAAAACCACATGATTATCTCAATAGATGCAGAGAAAGCATTCGATAAAATTCAACACCCTTTCATGATGAAAACTCTAAGCAAATTGGGTATAGAAGGAACATTCCTCAATATAATCAAAGCAATTTATGAGAAACCCACGGCCAGCATCCTATTGAATGGGGAAAAGTTAGAAGCATTTCCACTGAAATCTGGCACCAGGCAGGGATGCCCACTCTCACCACTGCTATTTAACATAGTTCTGGAAGTTTTAGCCAGAGCCATCAGACAAGAAAAATAAATTAAAGGAATACAAATTGAGAAGGAAGAAGTCAAACTATCCCTCTTTGCAGACGATATGATTCTTTACTTAGAGGATCCAAAGAACTCTACTAAGAGATTATTGGAACTCATAGAGGAGTTTGGCAAAGTGGCAGGATATAAAATCAATGCACAAAAATCAACAGCCTTTGTATACACAGGCAATGCCACGGCTGAGAAAGAACTGCTAAGATCAATCCCATTCACAATAGCTACAAAAACAATCAAATACCTTGGAATAAACTTAACCAAGGACGATAAAGATCTCTACGATGAGATTACAAAATCTTAAAGAAAGAAATAGAAGAGGATACCAAAAAATGGAAAAATCTTCCATGGATTGGAAGAATCAACATCATCAAAATGTCCATTCTCCCAAAAGCAATTTATAGATTCAATGCAATCCCAATCAGGATACCAAAGACATTCTTCTCAGATCTAGAAAAAATGCTGAAATTCATAGGAGACACAAGAGACCTCGAATAGCTAAAGCAATCTTGTACAACAAAAACAAAGCCAGAGGCATCACAATACCAGATTTCAGGACATACTACAGGGCAGTGGTAATCAAAACAGCATGGTACTGGTACAGAAACAGATGGATAGACCAATGGAACAGAATGGAAACACCAGAACTCAACCCAAACATCTACAGCCAACTTATATTTGATCAAGGATCTAAAACCAATTCCTGGAGCAAGGACAGTCTATTCAATAAATGGTGCTGGGAAAACTGGATTTCCATGTGCAGAAGCATGAAGCAAGACCCCTATCTTACACCTTACACAAAAATCCACTCAACATGGATTAAAGACCTAAATCTACGACGTGACACCATTAAGTTATTAGAGAACATTGGAGAAACCCTTCAAGATATTGGCACCAGCAAAGAGTTTCTGGAAAAGACCCGGGAGGCACAGGCAGTCAAAGCCAAAATCAACTATTGGGATTGCATCAAATTGAGAAGTTTCTGTACTGCAAAAGAAACGGTCAGGAGAGTGAAGAGACAACTGACAGAATGGGAAAAAATATTTGCAAACTATGCAACAGATAAAGGGTTAATAACCAGAATCTACAAAGAGATCAAGAAACTCCACAAAAACAAAACAAACAACCCACTTAAGAGATGGGCCAAGGACCTCAATAGACATTTTTCAAAAGAGGAAATCCAAATGGCCAACAGGCATATGAAAAAATGTTCAAGATCACTAGCAATCAGGGAAATGCAAATCAAAACCACAATGAGGTTTCACCTCACCCCGGTTAGAATGGCTCACATACAGAAATCTACCAACAACAGATGCTGGCGAGGATGTGGGGAAAAAGGGACACTAACCCACTGTTGGTGGGAATGCAAACTGGTCAAGCCACTATGGAAGTTAGTCTGGAGATTCCTCAGAAACCTGAAGATAACCCTACCGTTCGACCCAGCCATCCTACTCCTTGGAATTTACCCAAAGGAATTTAAATTGGCAAACAAAAAAGCGGTCTGAACCCTAATGGTTATTGCAGCACAATTCACAATAGCCAAGACCTGGAACCAACCTAAATGCCCATCAACGGTAAACTGGATAAAGAAATTATGGGATATGTACTCTTTAGAATATATACCGCAGTAAAAAAAAAAAAAAAATGAAATCCAGTCATTTGCAACAAAATGGAGGAATCTGGAACACATCATGCTGAGTGAAATAAGCCAGTCCCAAAGGGACAAATATCATATGTTCTCCCTGATCGGTGACAACTGACTGAACACCAAAAAGGAAACCTGTTGAAGTGAAATGGACACTATGAGAAACGGTGACTTGATCAGCATAGCCCTGTTAACGAACAACTTAATACATTATCCCTCTTAGTATTTTTTTTTGTCTGTTCTACTTAATACTACTGGTTTAATTCTGTAATTAATACACAGTTATTCTCAAGTGTTAAAATTTAACTGAAATATGATCCCTGTTAAATATAAGAGTGGGAATAAGAGAGGGAAGAGATGTACAATTTGGGACATGCTCAGGCTGACTTGCCCCAAATGGTAGAGTTAGAAACATACCAGGGGATTCCAATTCAATCCCATCAAGGTGGCATGTACCAATGCCATCTCACTAGTCCAAGTGATCAATTTCCGTTCACAACTGATCATAATGAAAGGACTAAGAGTCAAAGGGATCACATAAACAAGTCTAGTGCCTGCTAATACTAACCGATAGAATAAATAAAGGGGAGAGTGATCCAACATGGGAAGCGAGATACACAGCCGACTCATAGAATGGCAGATGTCCTAAACAGCACTCTGGCCTCTGAATCAGCCCTAAAGGCATTCGGATCTGGCTGAAAAGCCCATGAGAGTATTTCAGGCATGGAAAGCCAAGACACTCTGGAAAAAAAAAAAAAACACACCTAAATGAAAGATCTCTGTGAGTGAGATCCCAGTGGAAAGAACAGGTCTTCAAAGAAGGAGGTACCTTTCTCTGAAGGGAGGAGAGAACCTCCACTTTGACTATGACCTTGTCTAAACAAGATAAGAGTTGGAGAACTCAGAGGGCTTCC